CTATCCTGTCTCCATCGGCTCAGGGAACTTGGAAATTCCCTGGTCCAGCAGCCTCACAGAGGGGAAACTGAGGTCCGGGGAGGGGCGGGTCGGGGCGGGCCCCTCCTCAACCAGCGTTTCCACACAGACGCCATGGCCGAGCCCCTGAAGGAGGAAGACGGCGAGGATGGCTCTGGGGAGCCCCCCGGGCCGGTGAAGGCGGAACCCGCCAACACCGCTGCTTCTGTAGCGGCCAAGAACCTGGCCCTGCTTAAAGCTCGCTCCTTCGATGTGACCTTTGACGTGGGGGACGAGTACGAGATCATCGAGACCATAGGCAACGGGGCCTACGGGGTGGTGTCCTCTGCACGGCGTCGGCTCACGGGTGAGCTCCCCTGTGGTGTGCCGCGCACAGACGTGGACACCGGTTCCCCGAGAGGGAGAAAGCTGCCCCATCTCAAACAGCCGAGAAGGAACACTGGGGCGCTAATTCTGGTTTCAGTCCGCAAACTTTGGCTACGTACCATCTGGATGCCAGGCTCTGTGTTGGGCACAGTTCTCAGAAACTTTGGCGTGGTTGTTGGGTCAGCACTTCAGCCTACTTCCTCATTAGAAAAATGACAATCCCAATTAGATTGGAGAGCCTGTCCTTAGTTTCTAAAAGAGAAATGTGTTCCGGAGCCAGGAACTGGCACAAGGGATAGGTGGTAGGATGGGTGAGGTCTGGGATGGAGAGAGAGGTAGAAGCAGCACAGGCATTATACAGTCTAGACCGTCCCACTAACCAGCTGTGCAACCCCCAGTACGTCACTGAGACAAGATTTCCGCATCTCTAACTCGAGATATGAAGGGAAAATCTGATAACATGTGTAAAGTGTTTAACATAGGGCTTGGCACAGGTAGGTACTCAGTACATCGTAGCTGTTGTTGTTTGCGTCCTAGATGGGGGTGTTGATCGGGGCCCCGTGTCACTCTGCAGCCATCCCGACGTACCTCATAATGTCTGCCTTTTCCCTGCTTCCCAGGCCAGCAGGTGGCCATTAAGAAGATCCCTAATGCCTTTGATGTGGTGACCAATGCCAAGCGGACCCTCAGGGAGCTAAAGATCCTCAAACACTTCAAGCATGACAACATCATCGCCATCAAGGACATCCTGAGGCCCACTGTGCCCTATGGCGAGTTCAAATCTGTGTAAGGAGTGGGGTTGGGAGAGGGAGGTAGAATGGGGGCCTTTTGTGGAGGTTGGGACCATGTTGCTAAAGTTCTGGAAGGACAGCTGGAACTAATGTAAGGCAGGCTGGGAAAATTCCCACAATTCCAGGACAGCTGTGATTCCTTAAGAAGAGTACAGGTGTTACAATTTTATAGAATCTCAGTATGTAGCCTGGTAAACGTAGGACACTCATATTGTAACTGCACCCTCCTTTTCCCAGAGCAGATATCACTCATCAATCATAGACCAGTTTCCTACAGAAAACGGACAAGATACCCCCACCAATGTAGTTCAGTTGGTTGAGCATCATCCTGAAAGGCAAAGGTCACTGGTTCAATACCTGGTCAGGCCACATGCCTGGGTTGCGGGTTCGGTACCCGAATGGGACACGCAGGAGAGGCATCCAATCGATGTTTCTCACATCGATGTTTCTCTCCCTTTTTTTCTTTCTCCTTCCCTTCCCCTCTCTCTAAAAATAAATAAATAAAATCTAAAAAAAAATAAGAGAGAAAAGAAAATGGACAAGATACCACAGTTTTCATCATAGTCTTTCAAGCAACCACTACCAAACAATGGAGACAGACCCCAAATTAACCCATTGGCCAGCTCTGGTTTAATCCAACCTCATCTTTTCTCTGATGGGGCAATAGATCTGGAGACAAAAGGGATTTAACTTCACTTAAGTTCATGGAAAAGTTGTAGAGACTCTAGAATCTTCATACCATGCCATGGCCCCTTCAAAGTCTGATGGTAAGACCATTACCTGTCTGGGATCAGGAGGGTGTGGTGCGGCCAGGCTGGAGTGTGGGCCAGGCAGCCCACGCCGCTCTCCCCTGTCCCTTCTAGTTACGTGGTCCTGGACCTGATGGAGAGCGACCTGCACCAGATCATCCACTCCTCGCAGCCGCTCACACTGGAGCACGTGCGCTACTTCCTGTACCAGCTGCTGCGGGGCCTTAAGTACATGCACTCAGCTCAGGTCATCCACCGTGACCTCAAACCCTCTAACTTGTTGGTGAATGAGAACTGTGAGCTCAAGATCGGTGATTTTGGCATGGCACGGGGCCTGTGCACCTCACCTGCTGAGCACCAGTACTTCATGACTGAATATGTGGCCACACGCTGGTACCGTGCCCCTGAGCTCATGCTCTCACTGCACGAGTACACGCAGGCTATTGACCTGTGGTCCGTGGGCTGCATCTTTGGTGAGATGCTGGCCAGGCGCCAGCTCTTCCCAGGCAAAAACTATGTGCACCAGCTGCAGCTGATCATGATGGTGTTGGGCACCCCATCGCCAGCTGTGATTCAGGCTGTAGGGGCTGAAAGGGTGCGAGCGTATATCCAGAGTCTGCCACCACGCCAGCCTGTGCCCTGGGAGACAGTGTACCCAGGTGCTGACCGCCAGGCCCTCTCACTGCTGGGGCGAATGCTGCGTTTTGAGCCCAGTGCCCGCATCTCAGCAGCTGCTGCCCTTCGCCACCCCTTCCTGGCCAAGTACCATGACCCTGATGATGAGCCTGACTGTGCCCCTCCCTTTGACTTTGCCTTTGACCGAGAAGCGCTCACCAGGGAGCGGATTAAGGAGGCCATTGTGGCTGAGATTGAAGACTTCCATGCACGACGCGAGGGCATCCGCCAGCAGATACGCTTCCAGCCTTCTCTGCAGCCTGTGGCCAGTGAGCCTAGCTGCCCCGACATTGAGATGCCCAGTTCCTGGGCTCCCAGTGGGGATTGTGCCATGGAGTCACCTCCACCAGCCCCGCTGCCATGCCCTGGCCCCACACCTGACACCATCGACATGACCCTGCAGCCGCTCGCCCCGCTGGCCAGTGAACCAGCCCCTCCAAAGAGGGAGGGTGCCATCTCAGACAACACCAAGGCGGCCCTCAAAGCCGCCCTGCTGAAGTCATTGCGGAGCCGGCTCAGAGGTATCTTGCAGAAGCAGCTGCCGACCTGGGAATGGGGAGGCAGGAGGGGGCCTCTGGCCTTAGGGCCGCAGGTTCTTACCTCCCCCCGTCCAACTTCCCTGCAGATGGTCCCAGTGCCCCACTAGAAGCACCTGAGCCTCGGAAGCCAGTGACAGCCCAGGAGCGCCAGCGGGAGCGGGAAGAGAAACGGCGGCGGCGGCAGGAGCGAGCAAAGGAGCGGGAAAAACGGCGGCAGGAGAGGGAGCGCAAGGAGCGGGGGACCGGGGCCTCTGGGGGCCCCTCCACCGATCCCCTGGCTGGGCTGGTGCTCAGTGACAATGATCGCAGCCTGCTGGAGCGCTGGACTCGAATGGCCCAGCCCCCAGCCCCCACTCTTGCACCAGCGCATGCCCCGGTAACAACACCCCCTCCGGCCCAATCTACCAGTCCTCCCGCAGGCCCTGTGGCCCAGCCCACTGGACACTCACTGCCACCTGCAGGCTCCACCCCGGGTGCTGCAGCACAGCCTGCCTGCCCACCCCCTGGCCCTGCGCCCCACGCTGCTGGCGCTCCGGGGCCCGGCCCTGCTCCACTCCAAAGCACCGCCGCCTCCAGCCTCCTGGCGTCCCAGCCACTTGTGCCACCCCCTGGGATGCCTGGTTCCAGCACCGTGGGCGTTCTGCCTTACTTCCCAGCGGGTCCACCCCCTCCGGACCCTAGGGGCGGCCCTCAGCCATCCACCTCAGAGTCACCCGATGTCAACCTGGTGACCCAGCAGCTGTCCAAGTCTCAGGTGAGAGGAGAAACCCAGGCCATGAGGACATCTGGATCTGGGCCCAGGAAAAACGGGTTTGGGAAGTGCTTGCTGTTCGGTGGGGACGGGGTGAGAGAGGCTTTGGTGTGTTTTGTTCCATGAGCAGCATCTAGGGCTTGTCTCTGAGCATGGCCCCACGCTTGGAGAAGGAGCACAATGCTGACCAGCAGGGTGTTGAGAGACAAGTATGGCGCTTCCTGGGAAGCGTCTGGCTGGAGCTGGGCCCCAGCCAGCGCTCAGTGATTGTCAAGGCTGCTGCTGTCCCCCACGGGTATCCAGCCAGAGGCACTAGCAGCATCAGGACAGGCTTTCCTGCAGACCTCGGCCCGCCCTTGGTGGTGCCTGCGTTGTAACCTGCTGTTCTACCCTGCAGGTGGAGGACCCTCTGCCCCCCGTGTTCTCGGGGACTCCAAAGGGCAGTGGGGCCGGTTATGGTGTTGGCTTTGACCTGGAGGAATTCCTGAACCAGTCTTTCGATATGGGCATGGCTGATGGGCCACAGGATGGGTAAGTTGGCTGGGCTGAACTTCTAGAACAAGACTGTATATTCCTGGTGCAGGAGGAGCTTGCCTGTGGGATGGGCAAGGAGCCAGCCTAGGCTAACAGGTCACTGCTCCCCTTTCCCCTGCAGCCAGACAGACTCGGCCTCGCTCTCGGCCTCCCTGCTCGCTGACTGGCTCGAGGGCCATGGCATGAACCCCTCTGACATCGAGTCCCTGCAGCGTGAGATCCAGATGGATTCCCCGATGCTGCTGGCCGATCTGCCTGACCTCCAGGAGCCCTGAGGCCCACAGCCTGGGCCCTGCTGCCAGGGGAGGACCAGCTCCAGGCCTGCAGAAGCGTTCTCCAGGGCTGGGGCCCTGGGCCCCGCAGGGGAGGCGCGGCTTGGGGTCACCTGCAGGTTCATCTCAGGGCCGTCCTGCGGCCTTAAGTGGCCACCTGAGCCGCCACTGAGCTGTGAGAGGGTCAGGACACCCCCATTCCCTGGGCGACCCTTTTCAGTATTATATTTTTATTATATAATTTTATTATTAGTCATTCTTTTTGCCATCAAGGCCTGTGAAATATAAGTTTACCTCTAGCGCCTAACTCCAGGTATCTTTTTGGAATGGAGGATAGTGTGTTGTCAGTAGGGAAATGGAGGAGCAGGTTCCCACCTTTGGGGACCAAACAAATGCATTTGCATGTACAACAGCCAAAGCCAAGTTCATTCAGGTCCTGAGGTTTATTGAGACTCCACTCCCTACCTGCTCCCGGTCCCACAGAAGTTGTCCACTGCCCCCTCACATGGTCAGACCTCAACCCCGGGGCGGGTGGGAGGACCTCACGTCTATGCCTACCTTGACTGGGGCTGTTTTCAGGAGGCGCGTTGTAGCTGGGGTGAAATGCTGTGTTGGCCTTGAGCTCTGGGAGCCTGGGACAGGGCGGGGAAGCTGAGTATCATAGTGCGATGGGGCTGGGGGTCAGTGGTGCTCACCACTAGAGACTAAGTCGGTGGGCGACAGGCAGAGGACGAGAGGTACTCAGAACAGCCGGGGACTTGCTGGGGGCCGGTCATGGCGGCCAAACACAGGTGGTCTGGCACATTGCGGGTGTCGATCAGACTGCACCGGCTCAGCCCGGCATGCTGGGGCGGCCCCAGGCAGGTGAGCCCGCAGTCAGGACGCTGGCGAAGGTGGGACACAGAAACCTGTAGCCTGGGAGGGCAGCTCCTGGCTCTCAGCCTTTGATACGGGCCGGAGGCAACTGAGAGCCCTGTGGAGCCCGGCCAGGGCCAGGCCGGTGGTGCCTTCTGAGAGGCCTGGGAAGCTGGTTGGCAGCACGGCCTCAGGTCAGCGGGGAGCAGAGGCCCGGCTTAGAGACCAGCTGGGGCTAGAGCCATAAGGCCCCCTGTGAGAAGCAGGTGCTGAGAGAGCAGCAGAACTGACAAGGGGGCGGGGAGGGGGGCGGTCGTGGAGACGGAGCAGCCAGCGGGCGCTGGGGCCTGGCGGGGCCAGCCGCTCAGGCCCGGCGTATTTTCATCTCAGTGCGCTTGAGGGAGTAGTAGAAGCCCTTCCACTGGGCCCAGTTGATGCCGTTGGCGTAGGAGAGGTGGGAGCCACCCAGGTAGAAGCCATTGAGGTTGGCGAAGTGGCAGCTTCGGAACCAGAAGGCTCCTGAGGAGAGGGCAGCACAGTTCTGCACGAAGAGGTCCTGGTCTCGGTCAAAGGTGGAGAACTTCTGGCCACTGTGGTAAGACAGGGAGTCGCCTGGTGGAGAAGAAGACGGGAGAGGGCTACTGAGGCGGGGAGCTGAGCCCCGAGCTTCCGGGCGGTGAGTGACAGCGGTGACGAGTGATGCTGTCAGAGACATCAAGTGTCACCCTGGTGGGACGGGGCACCCTTCCCGAGCTAGATGTTGGGCAGCCATGCTTCTGCAGGAAAGGAAAACAGCTGCTCCCCACGGGGCCGCCTGCCGCGGAGTGGATGTGGCCTCTCCCTAGGCTGAGGCCCAAGCTGGTGCAGAGCCAGCAATGACGCTTCCAGGCCAGGAGGGGGAGAGGGATTTCAAGGGGCCCTGGGACCAACAGGGCAGTGCCAGCCCTGCCCGGTCCCCCCGACATGCCCTCCTTAGCCTGTCAGGAGGGCACTACCTGCCCCGCCGTCCTCAAAGCCTGCCACGTAGAGGGTATAGCCATCCTCTTCAGCGCTGATCGCATTGGGCGAGATAGAGAAGTCTAGGTACTTGGCGTAGGCCGTGTTGTTCTCAAAGTCCTCCAGGTCCACTCGCAGTTCGTACTTCTGCTTCAGTGTCAGGAGGTGCAGGTTCTGCAGCCCTGGGGAGCAGGGAGGGGCAGCTGGTCAGCAAGGACCTGGCTCTGGGGCAGCCCCCAGCCTACCTGGGCCCCGCCTTACCCAGCCAGTACTCCCCGTCAGCACGGCCAAAGCCTAGCTTGTAGTCGTTCCAGCCCCGGAAGAAACTCACTGAGCCATTGAATCTCTTCTGGAAAACCTGGAGCAGAGACGACAGGCCCGGATTTTCAAGGGTCCAGTGGGCAGGGGCCTCATCCAGGTATGGACCCTATGGTGCTGAGGTGGTTTGTTAAAGGGTAGCTGGGAGCCTACAAGACACACCCTGGCACCCCTAGTGGGCAGCTGCTGGGTGCTGGGAAGAGCTTAGGAGGGTGTTAAATGCCAGGGCGGAGTTCTGTGCTGGCTGCGTGAAGTCAAGTGAGGTGCTTCGCCCCTCTGGGCTTCCGTTCCTTGTCTGAGGGTACAGTCCTCCCGGGGCTCTTGTGAGGTTTACTTGCCCCTGGAATCCAGTGCTGGCAGCAGCTTACAAACTGCACTGCCGGGACTGTTACCCCATTTTAGAGATGAAGAAACTGAGGCTCCCAGAGGTGAAGCTGGGCCAACCACGGACCGGAACTGGGCATCTGTCCCCCTCCTGCCACTCACCGTCCACTTCCCACCCTCAGTGGTCATGTCACAGAAGACTGGCACGGGCACGCTGGGGCCCAGGGGGTAGATGAGGTACACGCCGTCTGCCTGGTAGCCCTGGGCGTAGATGTCATCGCAGTCCAGGGACTGCTGAAGGCAAGGCTTCTCCAGAGCTGGGGAGCAGGGGCGGGGAAGGTGAGAGGGGGCTAGGGCGGAAGTCACACCTCAGCACCCCGCAGTTTGCTTCTGTCCCTGGGGGCAGAGTACTGCAAGATTCTTTGCGGGGGTGGGGGGGGTGCTCGAGGATCACCTCGCCCACCTGTCCCGCTTTACAGAGCAGGAGACCAAGGCCTGCAGAGCGGCTGACTCCCAGGCACGTGGCTCAGACGGCCTCTCCTTGCCCAGCCCGCTGGCCAGGCTGCTTTTGCAACCGTGGGCTGCTTACCGTCACCCCGGATCCCGGAGACCTGGGGGGCGCCGAGGGGAATGGAGAGCAGCAGCAGGAGCAGCGGCAGGGCCAGGAGGGCCTGGTGTCAGGAAAACAGGGTCTCCTCAACACCGTCTGTGCCTCCAGCCCCAGAGCCCTCCTACTTCCCCTGCCCTTACCCCAGTACCCAAACCAGCCCCCACCAGAAGCCCCTCTCCTGCCCACTGCACCCCCCCACCGGCAACCGAGAAACCCTGCTCCCCAGGACAAGCTCGGCACCCTCCTGGGCTAGGAGTTTCAGGCGAATTATGTGAACCCCCTGTGCTGTCAGAGTCCCCTCTCTGGTCGGGGTCCTCTGCACACAAGGGGCTGAGTCCCCCACCCGGGCCCGGTACCTTCATGCTGCCAGTTCGGCTCCGAGCGACTGGGTGTCTGCCGCCCCAGACTGCAGCCGCCGGAGTTATGTGCTGGGCCCCAGCCAGCAGCCCCGGCCCCACCCCCTGGAACTGCAGAACCCCCTCTTCATCCTGGGCACTCAACCAGCACTGGCGGGAGCCAGGGGACCACCTGTGTCTCATTAGGCCTGTCAGGGGCAAAGCGCTGCAGACGTTAACTCTCGCTGGCTCAGACCCGAAGATGTCTTTATTTTCTCCTCCTCCTCTGGCTGGCGCGTCCTCACCGCTGTCAGGGGAAGGCTGAGGGATGGTGGGGAGGGAGCAAGTTTGCCTGGGTTCCAAGGCGCGGAGGCCCCTTGGTGGGGGGCAGCGTCGGTGCTCCTGCTGTCGGGCCTGGCTGGGGCCGCAGGGCGGGCTGGCGGGGCGGGGCGGTGAGGCGGGGCGGGCAGGCTGCTGGCAGGGCTGGGACATCGCTGAGCCGTGAGCACAGCTTGCAAGCGTCCAATGGCTGTCTGCTCCAGCTCAAGCCAGGGCCCCTCTCCAGCCCCCTCTCCCCCCTTCAGACTCCCCTGGGATCTGTCTGGCTCACACACCGCAGCACAGGGCCTCTTTTGTTTTGTTTTGTTTTTTCACCTCACCCCACCCCCTTCCTTTCTTCAGACCCCTCACTTTGGCCCCCATCCAACCTCAGACTCCCCTCTGGGCCGCTCTCCACCATTGTACTACTTCTCCAGCCTTGGGCTTTCGCTGCCTCCTCCGGCCCCTGCCCCACTGAGCAAGGTGTCCCCTGCCTGCCTCCCAGCCATCCCTGAGGACCATCCCTATGGACCTTTCTGCTGGTCTGGTCTCCTGGGAGCCCTCTCGTTGGATCGGGAGGGGGGGGATTGTCCATCCCCCCCACTTCCCTCCTTCTGCACAGGCTGCCAGAACAATCTAGATGGCTGCTCTGTCACCACCTGCTTAAAGCCTCTGTGGCTCCCTATTGCCTCAGGCTTGAGGCTAAATTTCTCCCCTTGGACTTGAGAGGAGTTTTAAGTCTGGTGTACCTGAAGGGCCTTATCTCTTATTGCTTGTCAGTCATAAAGTACAGTCTCGCCACACCGACTTCCCTGGCTGCGCCCACTCCGTTCTCTGGGGGCCCACCCGCCGGCCTCTGCGGCCTGGCTGTGAGTGCGGGGCAGGCCTTGTTCCTGCCGTCGGCACCCCTCACAGAGCCTGGCGCAGAGGAGGCCCGGCGCCAGCCCTCACTTGTGGATGAGTATCTCCTGGGCACATTCCTTGTGCCGACTTGCCTTGGGATACAGCGTCTGCCCCGAGGAGCGGCAAGCACCTGCGTGAGACTGTTCATTGCGAATGTGATGTGTGTTATGAAAACGTTTGCTGAATGGATGGACAAATGAAATGCTCAGAGGTGCAAAGTAAGAGGGCAGCTCTGCCTCCGGCCCTCTCTGCCGCCCTGCACCAGCCGGGCCGGCCCCTGGTGCTGGCCTGTGATTGCTGCTGAGAGCTGCCTCTCTTCATAGCCGTGCCCTGGCCTCGAGCTGCTGGAGCCATGCGGCCTGCGTGCAAACCCGGCTGGTGCTGCCTGTTGGCTGGGTGGGCGTGGACGAGTTACCCAGCCTCGCTGTGCCTTGGTTTCCTCCTCTGTGAAAGTGAGGATATTAACAGTGGTGCCTTCCAAGTGCGCTGGTGAGGATCCCATGGTCCCATCAAGCGCCTAGCACCGCGCCCACAGCTGGTAACTGGTTACTAAGTGTGAGCCATCTTCATAAGCAGCGATTGTTCCTGCACGCGTGGATTTTTATCCTTGTCAGTGGAGAAGACGGTTGCCTGCCTCTCAATGTAGGCCTTCAACTAAGAGAAGTCATCCTTCCCTTAGTCCTGAGCGGTAAGTCCTGACTGACCGTTAGCTGGGCTGACTTTCTAGCCTACCCTGGTGAGACCGCATATCCGAATTTTGGCCAAGAAGATGCAAGCAGAAGGGTCGTAAAGGTAGAGGGTCGTTCTCTTCTCCCTGCCCTTGGTCCTGTTGCTGGGCGTGAGGGCTGGAGCCCCAGCTGCTGCCTGAGGCGGCGGGGCCCGGGCCCCTCAGGGTGGAGGAGGGGTGGTCTGGGAGGAGCTGGGTCCAAGGCCAGCTCTGGACTGGCCTGTAGGCCTGTTTTATGTGGAAGAGAGAGAAGCATCCATCTAGTTGAAGCCTGCTATTGTTTTCCCCGATACACACCACTGAGTCTGATCCTAATACCGGTGCCAGCTAATTATAGCCCAGGCTACAAAAAGGAAAATAATGAGAAGTCAGTCATCAAAACAAATCATAAAATGTCAAGTATCATACTTTTGCACAATGTAACTAATAAACAAATATAGGAACCCACCCCCAAACCCCATAAAAAAAAAATGAAGCAATGCGGTATCCATCATCATTTGCCTATTAGTTTTGTAGAAACGCGTTTGTGGCTGTGGCCCAGCAGGCAGGCATTCTCGTCACTGGATGTGGCTTTGAATGACTGTGACTCTCCAGGGCAAGGCAACTGGCAGTACACAGGGAGAGCCAGGGGTCAGAAACCCCGCTTTGGGACACGGTCTGAAGGAAGGCTGCCGACACTGAGGAAGGTGTCCGTGGGCATCGCTGGCTGCCCCACCTGGAAAGCGCCCTCCTGTATTTGGGGTTCCCCTAATTGGAAAGTAGGGTGCCTGCTTTCCTAGGCTTCCTTTAAGTTTGGTTGAAAGCACGGGACCTTGGTTTAGCCAATCAAATGCACTGCTCTGAGTTTCATTTGGGAGGTGTTGATTCCAGAAGCAGGAGCATGAAAAATCCATTCCTGGGATGGTTGTGACCCCAGAGGTGTCTGGGTTCCAGGGTCCCTGGCTGGTTGGTGGTGACTCTGCAAGCGCAGTGCTGGTTTCGGTGGCAAAGTCCAGAGCTTGGTCCTCAGAGCCCTCCTGGCCTCTGCCAATGAGCTGCTTGAAGCAGATGCCCAGCTCATGTAGATGAAGGTGTTTACCAACTCGGACTGACTTCGCCGGGAGGCTTTCCAGGCCTCAGAGCTGCTGCGAGGCTGGAGGGCTTGCCTGACCAGGGTGCCGGCAGCTCATGCTGCCCAGAGCTCTAGGAAACAGGCCCTCGGTCATGGTTGGGACACGGGGACAATGTCAGGAAGACGCTGTGCACTGCACAGGCCTGTGGCTTTGTCCGGTCAAGAGCACCACATCCCACTGGCCTTGCTTGGGTCACTTGCACCCCCTCCACCCCATCTTTGTGCTCCTCCGTGTCCGGGGCATCGCTGGCTTCCGGCTAGGTTGGCCAGGGGGCGGCACCAGCGGGAGATGGGAGAAGAGAGGGACAATGGCTATGTCCTCCCCGCAGCCCCTTTATGGCTCCTGTGTGACCCTCCTGGCCCTTCTTGCGCAGCCTGGGAGGGTAAGGGCTCTCCCCGCCATCGCCGCGGGGCCCCTTAACGCCCACGCTCACAGAAATAGTCCCTTCGTTAAATTCCCTTAAAAACAAACAAAACAGCTGAGTCTGCCTTTTTCTCCTGCCAAGGTCTTTGGTTTCGTTCTAAAAGCGCAGCAGCCTGTGGAATGTCTGGGACAACAGCTGAGGACAAGACCCCAGACTAGTCCTCTGACCACCACCCCACGATCAGCCTGAGCTGGAGAGGGCCAGGCAAGGGGGTTTTCGGAGAGAGCGCCGAGGAGCAGAGCACTCACGGGGGGCGGGGTGGGGAGAGGGCGTGTCCCCCAATCCAGGCCAGCGGGGGGCTCGGAGAAGTGGGGCCGGCTGCCAGCGGAGGCTACGCCGAGCTCCGGAACCAGCCCTCCCCAGAGGCTGCCTCCGGAGCGGGTGGGAGATGCAATCAGAAGCCAGATGGTGTGAACCGTGGAGCTGCCGTGTGGGGGCGGGGGCTGCTCGGTCAAGGGCAGGCCACGTCCTGGTGCAGGGCAGCGCCGGGTCAGGTTGGACCAGGGCCCACTCTAGTGGCTTCATTTTTAATTCACACTCACCCGAGGACATTGTTTTCATTGCTTAAGGCCGGCGGGGGTGGGGGTGTGAAGAGGGAGAGAGACAATCGATGTAAGAGAGACTGTCAATCAGCTGCCTCCTGTACCTGCCCCCAACGGGCAGCGAACCCACAGCCTTTTGGTGTACAGACAGCACTCCAGCCAACTGAGCCACACCGGCCGGGGCTAGTGGCCTCATTGTAACAGAGGTTTAGTGGCCTCCTCAAAGGCTCTGTCTCCAAACAGAGTCCCATTCTGAGGTGCTGGGAGTTAGGGCTTCAGCATACGATTTGGGGGGACACATTTCAGCCCATAACAAACACCTACTGGGATGCATCTGGCATTCTGCATCCCTGTTGAGGCGGCAGTGAAACAGTCAGCTCTCCTGGAGCCAGAGAGAGGAAAGAAAGAAAAAATGAAGTACAATGATGCTGTGAAAAAGGAAGGGACAGTGAGTGGGGCGGGGGAGGCCACAGTGAGGAGAGGCCCTGGCGGCCACGGGATCTGAGGCCCGACGCAGGCTGCTTGTGGCGGGGAGCACGTTCCCCCCATGTGGTTTTCTTTGCAAAGGGGAAAGTTGGGAGGGGTTTGGGGTCTCTCCCTGCTCTTTCTGTAGTTTGGGGACGAGTTCAGCTGAGCTCGGAGTATGGCCGAGGGAGGCAGCAGGGTGGGAGGTGGGCAGGGTATGGAAGGCCAGCCTAGGCGTTTGAGGCCAACCCCAAAGGCCCTTGGGATTGGGGTATGCCAAGACACGGCCCCAAGCCTGTACCCCAGCACTTGCCCAGCCCCGGGAGCCACCCTGAGGGCGACGGCCTGGCAGGAGCAGCTCTCTGTCCAGATGCCAGCACCTGCTGAAGGAAGGAAGCCTGGGCTGGGCCCGGGGGAAGGAAGGAGCGAGCCATGGGGGGAAGGCGGGGGAGGGGGGAGAGGGGGCTGGATGCAGGGGTCGGCCTGTAGCACAGGAGGCTGGAAGGCTGGAAGGAAGGTTAGGTTGGTTTGTAAACTGTAAAGTGCCCTACACGCTGAAGAGCTTCTTCCTGGAGACCTTTCAGTACAAAAAGCAATACAGCAGAAAAGCAGGAGTTTGGGAATCCAGGCTCAAGTCCCAAGTGTAGTTGCTACTGATGTAAGGGACTAACGGGCTCAGAATCTTATTTGCAGTAGGTTCTCTCAGCAGTAAACTTTCTTAGCTCCGTACAAGTTCTCTCTCTCCCCACACAATCACCCCTCCGTTCCTCCAGCACTTCAGTATTCAGCGAGCGCCTGTTGCGCATCCGTGGCCGTGCGAGACAGCAGGCTTGTAGCACCGCAAGGGCAGGCCCCGCGCGGCTCCC